GTGCTTTTTAGACTCATCCAACTTGGTGAAAAGTTGGAATTGTCCCCATTTTACAGATAAGGCATGTGAGGCCCAGAGAGGGTCAAGGACTTCGCCAGAGGCAACATAGTAAGTCAGTGAGAGAGCTGGGATAGGACTGGGTCTGTCGGATTCCAAAAGCCACATTACCCGCCACTGTTTTCCTGCCTTCCTGGATTTTTCTGAGGAAAGAAAAGCAAATCAATTCCTCCTCATTATGATGTAGGAGAAAATTTTTCTATCACCTTCTCCCTACACATAAGAACTATGAGTTATAAAATCCAGGAGTCCCAGACATACTGAAAGGAAGGAGAGGCCAGGGAAAGGAAGAACAAGCCATGCTCCATCCAAGGAAATGTGACCTTTCCAAACTGTCCAAGGCTCCCTTCAGCAGAGGTAGTTGGAATGGAGTACTGGTGAGAATAAAATAAAAGCATCACACAAAATTCTAACTTTCACCCCCCTCAAAAAAATAGCCAGAACTGACAACAGTACACAAAATCCACCACGCACAATGTAAAGCACAAATCGAGTGTCTCTCTTTTCAGTGATAGTGTAAGCTTTGAAATACCTTCATCCAGCCGAGTGCTGACAAACAGCAAGAGGAAAAGTGTTCTGCGCCTTGGGAGAGGCTGCTCAGCACTAAGCAGATTCGGGTTCGCGATAGGCGGTCAGCACCACGGACAGCCACCCACCCTCCAAACCAAGGGCGTTCTCCGCGTATTTCTAAGGAACCTTGGCGGCCCAAATCTTGCAAGACCCTTTCAGGCAAATGGAATTCCTTGCAACAGCCTATGAAGTCACGATGTTTTCAAGTCACCAGCAAGTCTCTCCCTCTGGGAGGAGAACTCTACTCGCTGAGGCAGTTCGCAAACTGAGGTGAAAAATATACGGAGAAAGTCCATTTCTTGTCTCTTTTGTAACAAGGGCAGAGTCCACATGCCCCAGAGTCTGTGTCAAGGCAGAATAGCAGGGTGCCTGTAGACATTTGCTCTGCCAACCTGGAATGCTTTTGCTACTGCAGGAGCAACCCATCACCTCCGAAACACGTCAGCTGGCTCCCTTACCAAGCGGATGCCCAGATCAGTGTAGTGCTTGGGAGACAATAAGCCTCCTTTGGTTCTTCCCAATCAGAAAGAGTTCTGTGCTGCTGCACAGGCAGGGAAATACCATTAGGAGACAGAGTTAATACCAACTAATGACTCCACAAATGGAATCTGGTTTCCACCCTTCTGTTTCCTGGCATGTTTACTTGTTTCTCTGCCTGATGTAGCACATACTAAGGACATGTGCAATTGACTTGGAAGGTGTCCTGCTGTAAATAGGGGCCAAGGGTGCCACTGAGTCAGAGAAAACGCACTAAAGATGTGGTATTTGTTTGGAGTCAGGAAACAAAGCAAAAGGAGGGATTGGGGTCTGGGAATAAAGAATTTAAGTTGGAACTAAGGCACCCCCCAAAAAAGAGAAGGTAGGGTTCTGAATCCAAATCAAGGAGTTTGGTATTTACAATGCTGTAGTGAGTGGGCACTCAGACTAGGAGTCAAAAAGCCAGGTCCCAGCCCAGGGTCAGTCTGGAAGAGGCACCAACGCACTGGAAGTCACTCCTGCCTATCATTTCCTGAAATTATCTCGAAACTGCACACTCAATCCCCACTGCCCACATTTCTCTCCAATTCCTTGGTGACTTGTTTTGAGTCTGGGTATCTTCCCTTTTCTACAATAAGATCTTATGTATCTTTCAAAAGCTTCGTCAAATGCTTCCTCCTCTTTGGAGCCTTACCCTGGGGTTGCTCGAATTAGCCACTCTGGGCTCTGTGCCTCAGTTTCTGCACGTGTGAAACAGAGACACCAATCAGGAAGGTGTTCCGACACAGCATTCAGCCCATCACCGTGCCTAGCTCTGGATTTACTCCCCTGGCCAGGATATATGGCTTTCCTAATCACATGAAGTCTCTTTAGAATAAGATTCAGCTCAAATGCTTCTCTTTGGTTCCTGCAGGCAGAGCCTCTACAGTCCTCTGTTTCTATCTCCCTTGGTTGGCCTCTTCCATATTGGGTCTGTTGTCCATAGATGGTGACCTCCTTGAGGACAGGGGCTCTGCTTTACTCCCCACTGAGTCTCTCCATACCTAGTCCACGTGGGAACCCATCGAGTGCTCTGGTTCAGTAAAAGATCCCCAGGAGTCCCAATCTGACATGTTGCCCAGCATCTGGCTTCTCACCCAACTGCTTCCACTCTAGTCCCAGCTATGGTGGCCCCAAGGTTCATAAGGCTTAGATTTTCCTTTAGAGTCTCTGGCTGCAGGCACCCAGGATTCAACTCTAGTACAATGACAATTCAGAGCAATTATGGTGATCTAGGAGAAACTAGGACTCCTTTCCCAGCAGAAAAGACTCTTCTTGGACACAATACAAAGATGCTTTTCTCAGATGGTGTACAGCCCCACCCAGGGCACTTCTACCAGCACAGAGATGAGAAAGCTGGGGGACCAGCAGCATCTCTGCTGGCCTCAGGGGCAGCTCCCAGCAGCCACTCAGCCCAGCAGCCACCCGGCCATCCCATTGCAACACAGGCGAAACCCACCTATTGAAACAGATTTCCATGCATGTGTTGAGGCTTATGTACTTCAGCTAATTGAACAGTATTTGATGGTCCATGAAAATATCATGATACTTATATCCATGGCCACAACAGTATGTGCATGTCTAGGGGAGAGAAGGAGAGAGAGAGGAACACACACACACACACACACACACACACACACACACACAGAGAGAGAGAGAGAGAGAGAGAGAGAGAGAGAGAGAGAGAGAGAGAGAGAGAGAGAGAGAGAGAGAGAGAGAGAGAGAGAGAGAGAGAGAGAGAGAGAGAGAGAGAGAGAGAGAGAGAGAGAGAGAGAGAGAGAGAGAGAGAGAGAGAGAGAGAGAGAGAGAGAGAGAGAGAGAGAGACACACACACACACACACACACACACACACACAGAGAGAGAGAGAGAGAGAGAGAGAGAGAGATGGAGGGGAGGTATTTTTTCCAGCCAACAGAACATTAACCAAAGGGATGTCTGGCTGACAACATATACACCCCAAACCTGGTTATCTGTCTCTGCCTCAACCACAACATCTTTTAGCCAGCAGCAGCGTCCCCTCTGAACACCCCTGACTCTGAGACCATTTCTTCAGAAGGTCAAAGAGTCACCCTTAAAGTAGCTTGAATATCGGCACAAAGGGGATAGGTTGTGAGGATGATAAATCTGCCATCAAATTATAAACCCATTATACTAACAGCTAAGCCGGAAACCCACTGTGTGGACACTCTCCGCCTGGATTCCACACACTGCCTCTGCCCTCGGCCAGCCAGGCCTTCAGACTTGAACTGAGGGCACCATGGGGGAGGTAGACGGTGCAACTGTTTTTAGAAATTGGCAAGCTTGCAAATTAATTGCACATTCCACCCTATTCATGGCAGAGCAAAGCTTGAATGGGGCTTTGGAAAAGTGGGATTAAAACATTGAACAACGTGAAGCATCAAACAATGAATTTTTATAAATGATGAAACTCACGCAGAAGAACCCTTGCTCCTCAAACAGGTGCTAACTTTCTGCAAATTGACCTATGTGGACAGAACTATATGCTAGGCCAGAGGACATAAGGATTTAGTCTCCTTATTCAAAGCATGGTTCCTGGTCAGCAGCCTGGAATCAGGCGGGAACTCTAGAAACGCAGACTCTCAGGGGTTTGTTGGACCACGCTACATTCAGGCAAGACTCCCCGGGGGAGTGTCAGGCACCCACAAATAGGAGAGTCTTTGGCCAGAGGGCTAGAGAAATGCTCTGATGTCGGTTACCGCCTCAGAATGACCGCGCTGGTCAGGGATGGGGTGATGTCCAGAAAGCCCAGGCCTCCGGCCCTCATCAAGCCATTGGCGCTGCTCACAGGTCGGAAAGCCACCTGTAATCACACTGGGTGACAGCCAAGAAACCCCCCTCCAAGGACGGTGATGGGAGCCGGTGTGGGGGTTGTCGGCGTGCAGAGTTGGACTGTGTGACATTTGGCAAACTGACTTAAGTTCATTAAGTCTCAGTCTCCTCACTGTAAAAGGGCGTGATTAACAGTGGCATTTACCTGAAAAGATGTAGGGAAGGTAGGTGAAGTTGGGCCTGTGCTTGGCTTTGCACAACACCTGCACACAGCAGTGTCTTGGAAAACTGTCTTGGCTGTTATTAAACACCCCTCTCCTCTCAGAGCAGTTGGATCTATCATCTAATCTATCTATCTATCTATCTATCTATCTATCTATCTATCTATCTATCATCTATCTACCATCTATCTATGCCGTGCTGGGGAAGGAACCCAGGGCTTCTTACATGCTTGGCTACTGCTGCACCACTGAGCTTGACCCCAGACCTCCCCCACTCTGGGAAGGGGACAATGATGGTACAGTGATCCCTGTCCTCTCCCTCCACCTCCTCCTTTCCTGAGTTTGGAAGGCAGGGAGGTTTTATAAGACTCAAACCCAAACCGCCATCCAAGCCCTGATGAGTTGTCCCCGAGACTCGCTTTCTCCATCTGTGAAATGGGAACAGGTAAAGACTAGTGCCCATTCTGAGGGCCACCATGAAGATAAGATATGCTAGTCTACAGGACAGGGGGTGGCATCGTCATGTCACAGCTGCCACTGTCACCACTGGTCTTGTCATTAGAGATGATCGATCTGCTCAGAGAAAAGTAGGAAGAACAGGGACAGTTCAGGATCCAACTCAGCTTCAGAGCAAGAAGACGGGTGCGAAAGTGGGGTTTGGCTGGTGCAGGAGGCAGCAGGGAGCAGGGCAGTGCGACGTGGAAGTTGCTGGGCCAGACGATGGCCTGGGAGGCAAGGGTGAGGTGGGACAGTGGGGCCTTGGAGGGACAAGAGCCAGGGAAGGTGCAGGGCAGAGATTTGGGGCTGAGAGCTACAGGGGCTGGGGCAGGGCCAACTCACGTACACCTGCGGGCCGACTCCTGGGCCAGCTGCAGCCGGAAGACGGACAGGCGGTTGGCCCCGCCGCACACACTGCCGCGTTCGCCCTTGCACTCCATGTCACACTCGGCCTCGCTCACGTTGGCCGCCTGGATCCTGTGGCCACAGTAGCACTCGGCACCGAACTCCAGCCCAGCATACAGGTAACCCCTGGGGGAGGCTGCTGTCAGGCAGGGCAGGTCCCACCTTGGAGCCCAGGGGGACGGGGAGATGCACCGAGCAGAGACCACCGATGGGTCAACAGGACAAGAGAGACCACCCTGTCTGGAGACCCTGGGAGATGAGACCGGGGTGGGGGTGCTCGGGGAGACTGGAAGGGGCGCGAGGGGACTATGGGGGAGGCATGGCCCAAGGGGCTGGCAATCTGGGCTGGGAGGAGCAGACCAGAAAGGAGGCAGGGACACCGAGGAGTTAGGAGGCCTGGGAGGGAGGCCCCAGGGACGGGGAGACCCTGGGGAAACCAGAACACCCCAGGGACCATCCACCTGCCCTCACCTCTACCTGATGGTTTACACACCCACAACCTACCCACATAGGCACAGCACGTCCACATTCATACCCGCCTGCACATGCCCCCAACACGCAGTACACCACACACACATGCACACAGGCCCCGGATCCTGTGGTCCCAGCCCCTCTTCTTCTCCCTGCAGGAGACATGAGACATTCATATCTGCAAGGTCCAGCCTCTGTACTCCGGGAAGCATCACCCCAGAGACAGTGCCTCCAGGTCCTTGGAGAAGGGGAGGAGGCAGAAACGCTCCTGGCCCTTTGGATGGAGAATGGCAGGCTGAGCTCACATATGCAGCCAAGTAAGAAATTCCTTCCTCTAAAACAAAAAAAATCCAGGATTGCAAGGTTTTCAGCTATTTTTTCATAGTCATGGAATCCTTTCCTAAAAAGGCTCTCAGTGGATACTAAGTCGGTAAACAAATGGAGAGCTCTGCTTGCTCAGGCACTGGGTGGGGGAGGAGAGAGAGGGTAAGGCAAACCCCACACATGGCTCAGCCTCTGAGACATTCTTCAGAGGGCTCTTCAGGGAGCAGCCTGCAAACCACAGGTCCCATGAAGCTCCCTGTGGGGACTGTCTGCTCGCATCTCACTCTGGGTGGCAGTACACTGGCTGGAGGGGCTGACGTGGCCTCTACGTGCTCAGGGGGTGGCAGGTGATACTGCTCCACCTACCAGCTCCCCCAGGAAGATGTAGCCAGAACAGTTTAGATGATCGGAGCATGTGGGTGTCCAGCTCCCAGCAAAACCCTGGGGGCTCAGCCAGGCTCCTTCACCTACCTGTCCTCTACCTGCCTGTCTCTCTTTCTCTTCCACCCCTGGTTCTCAGAGGCGGAGAGCAGAGGCAGGGAAACCCACGCAGGACAGGGTTTGACAGTTTCTGGGGCAGAGAAAGAACAAGAAGGCCGGGAGATGTCCTGGATCAGGAGGGCAGTGCTTCCAAAATGTGCTCAGCGAACCTTGAGCACTCCTTCCTGTAAGGAGTGGAATTTACATCCCTCCTCCGCGTTGGGCTTGGGCTGAACTTAGTGACTGCTGACGAATAGAAGACAGAAGAAAGGTGCTGTAGTTTGGATCTTAAATGTCTCTCAAAGGCCCACGTTGAAGGCTTGTAACTTGGTCCTTGGAGTGTTGTTATTGGGAGGTGGTGGAACCTTTAAAAGGTGGGACCAGTTGGATGTGGTGACACTCACCTATAATCCCAAAACATGGGAGGTTGAGGCAGGAGGATGCTGTGAGTCCAGGGCAAGCCCGGGCTACATAGTGAGTTCCAGGCCAGCCTGAACTACATAGCAGCACCCCATCTCTAAAAAAGTGGTACCTACCAGGATGTCCTTAGGGAACTGGGGGCATGACCTTGAAGGGCCTGGGGGACCCTAGCCCCTTTCTCCTTTTCTCTTATTCCCTGGCCCAGACGTAAGAATTTTTACTCCACCACAGGCTCCCTCCATGATGTGCTGCCTTGCCACAGGCCCAAACAATGGGGGGGAAAATCCGTGTGAAACATGTACACCTGTGAGCCACATAAACCTTTGCTCCGTATGAACGAATTACCTTGGGTATTTTGTTACAGTTATGGAAAGCTGACTAACACCGATGGTTTGTCCTTGCTGAGGTGCTATGGTTTGGACAAGCTTAGAGTGTTCGCCAAGGGCCCACATGTTAAAAGCTTTGCCTCAGGGTGGTGCAAAAATCCTTTAAGAGGTGAGCCTAGAAGGAAGTCCACGACACCGAAAGAGATGACGGGACTGCTCGTGCAGCCCTCGGTGGTTCCCGTGAGAGGGCTGTTAGAAAAGCAGCAGGCCTGGCCCCCACCCCTCTGATTCCTGCTTCAAGATGTGATGCTCCCTTCCACACGTCCTGCTGTGACTACCTGTGAAACTCCTGCCCGTTCCTCCATTCTTCAAAACCTGGCTCGGTCTCACTTTTGTGATTTGTCCTGAATCCTCCATGTGGAGCCCTGGATTCCTTCCATCTTCCTGACTCCCCTGCTCCTGGATAGCATTTTTTGTTTAGTGCACCCATGGAGCCTAGTGTCTCCACGCCCCACTTTCCTCAGCTGTGGAATGTGGTTTATAGGATTCCTGTCTCACTGGGGCCTTGTAATCGCGAAAACAGAACAGCCCAACTGCCCATCAACCAGAGACTGGATAAAGATGTGGCTTTTTTTTTTTTTTTTTTTTTTTTTTCTTTGGTTTTTTTTTTTTTTTTTTTTTTTTTTTTTTACAAAGTGGAGCACTACTAGGCCATAAACAACAAGAAACTAGAGAGATTTATAGCCAAGTGGATGCACACTGAGGCCATACTCTTAAGTGAAATCAATAAGCTACACACATGTAAGTACAGAATAGATTCTCTGGTGTGAAAAAGTAAAAGTGTAAATAAGGATTAAAATGTATAATTGATACTGTGTAATAGGAAGAAAAGTCTAAAAAAGTGGAGGAAGCGGGTGGGGTGGGGAAAGGTAAAAAGGGAGAAGAAACAATATGTGAAAAGGAAAAACATGGAAACGAAGTCTTTGTAAACAGGGAAGGGCGGAGGGGCTGAGGGGAGGGCTGGGGAATAGGGAAAAATAAGAAGCTGACAAGTGTACAGGTATAAGATCCCAATGATGAATGTAACTGTACTGTATGCCTAACGGGTACCAAGAAATTTAATACAGATAATATTTTTTTAAAAAAGAGATTAAAGACTTGATATTTGCAGAGTGCTTAGAACAGAGCTCACACCTGGCAAGGGCCACCTAAGTGTAAGCTGTTACTGTTTTCTGGCCCAAGGCTGCCCATGCTTCTATTTCCCCAGCTAAACAGAAGCCCCCTAGGGCAGGGCTGCAGCCACCTCAGCCCTTGGTCTCCAGCACACTTGGACAGACAGCCAACCAGTGCTTGCTGAGCTGAGAGGAACTGCTTGAGTAGCTCCAACCCTCTCTTTCTTTCTTTCTTTCTTTCTTTCTTTCTTTCTTTCTTTCTTTCTTTCTTTCTTTCTTTCTTTCTTTCTTTCTCTTTCTTTCTGTACTAGGAATTGAAGGAATTTAGGGGCTTTGCACTGACTGCATTCCCAGCCCTATTTTTCTTTTCTTTTTAAATTTTGAGACAGGGTCTTGTTAAATTGCCCAGGCTGGCTTGAACTTGCCATCCTCCTGTCTCGGCCTCCGAGAGTGCTGGATGACAAGCCCGTGTCCCCATGCCCCACTTCCAACACTTAACTGCCATCACCTCTGAGAAGTCTTTTCCAGCACCCAGCAGGTGAGACCTCTTCTGCACTGCCATCTCTGTGAGGACCTCATATCCACTCTTCCCTCCCCTACAGTCCTTTCTGATCACTTGTCTGCCTTCCCTTTCAGGCTGTAAGCTCCATGAGGGAGGCACTGCACGGAATCCATCTCTGTCTCCCCATGATTTGGCAAATTAATTAATAAATCCACATCATGAAGGACTTGTGATCCTTCCCTAGTTGGAGATGGTCCTGAGCTCGGGACCTCAGTGGTGGGCTCCTCAGGCAGCTGATCAGTGCCTGTTTCCTAATCAGAGGCAGCAGGAAGAGTCCTTCAGTGGCCACTGCTGCCCATTTCCACACCGGTCATGCAGCGGAGGTCAGCAGAGCTGTGACCACCACAGCCAGCTGGCTGGAGTCTGCAGGTGAACAGATCAGAAGCCTCTTCAAGAACTGCCATAGGTCAAAGGACCCCAGAGGCAAGTAGAGGAGGTCAGCTCAGCCCCACAGAACCCCACGGACCCTGGGGACTCATCCACCCTAGAGAAGTCAACTCCATCCCAACTCACCAGAGCACGTTCTATTCAAAACCATACCCTGTTACACTGGAAGCCCCGTCTGTGTAAGTGTTTCACCTTGGGAGAAAATCAAGGGCTCTCTATGCTCAGAAACCATTAGATACCCCCTACACCCAAGCCCCTGTTTCTCCCTTTACACAGACATCTCACAAGCCCCATGTTTACACTTGCCCCTGCAGGCAAAAGCACACTCGATCATGCCTTTACAAGCTGTGTGCAGTTCCTTGTAACTTTGCACATCGTCAGCACAGGGCTGCACATGCTACCTGCACGTACAGGCTCCATCCTGGACCCTCACACACATATGCACAAAGACTCCTGCACACACCACCACAACTGCTGAAAGATCATCAAGTATTGGTGTTTAGCTCACAAACATAACCAGCTGCCTACACACTGTATACCACAAACTCATCCCGAGGTACATGAGTGCGTGCGCAGACACACACACACACACACACACACACACACACACACACACGCCCTTGCGTCTCCAACTCCTCGTGGTCAGGGCTCACTCTCTTGACAGCCTCCCACGGCAAGACGAGGAACAATGTGGCAGGATCCTGAGGAAGGGGTAGGACGGACCAGTCAGTGGGAACCAGGGCCCTACCTTTCAGCACAGTTGTCCTGGCAACGGAAGATGGTCATCTTTTTGTAGTCAAAAAAGGACACACCTCTCAGGGCCCGACTCTGGGTGTCATCCAGGTAGCAGCCGATGTACTTGGCTTTGGAGAAAGGAGAAAAGTCAGTTGTGGACGGGGCCAATGATAACAGGGTTACAGGAGGAGGCCTCCGTGTCCTCTGGCTGTTGGCCAGTGACCTTGTTATGCTTTTGGTACCAATTTCTTCCTCTGGACAGAAATAGGAGACTGGAGGTAGTGGGCACTGGCAGAGGCTAAGCCCTGTCCACAGGAGGGTCCCTCCTACTCCTGGTCAGTCTCCAGAGACTGCAGCCCACCCTCCCATGGACAAGGCTCCACCCAACCATCAGGGCTCTCCTGGTGACAAGTGGGTGCCCAGGAATCCAAGCCAATAGGTTTCAGGGTTTTGTCTTTGTTTTTTGTTTTTTGTTTTTTGTTTTGTTTTGTTTTGTTTTTTGGTGCCAGGGATCAAACTCAGGTCCTTGCGCTTGTGAGGCAGGAGGCAGAACCATAAAATTATTTTTTAAAAACCCAATCTCACACCATATACTTAGTTTTCTTAAAGCATGTCTAGGAAAATACACAAGATAGCACCTTACAGTTTGTGTGAAGTCCTTTCCCACTTATTCTTTAAATCCTTCTTCTTATCTGGCTATACGCTTTACTCAATATTTTATACCCAGTGGCTCCTTAAATCATCATAATGGCCTTATGAGAATATCATTCCCCTCCTGTCCAGGAGAGACTGAGACCCAGAGAGGAGATTAAGTCACCTGCTCAAGGTTCACAGCTCGTACAGGTGATGGGAAAACTGGATCCAAGCAATCTGGCTCCAGGGTGCATGTTCTAAAAGTCTTGTTTCTTGAACCAGGAGACTTGCGTGAGGCTCCATGTGAAGGGGGGACACAGGCATCTCCGTGCTCTTTACTTAGAGGGCCAGAAAGGCGAAGTGGCCTGCCTGAGACATAGAGCTTATTGATGGCCAGGTTTGTGGGACCCTCACCCCTGCTCTTCCCACTACTCCATTGGAAATACCAGGAGGTTGGCTGAGGATCCAGCCAGCCCTTAGAATCCAATTTTCCCAAGTTCTGAGGTCTTGTGAGTATCTCACTTTAAGTTTAAGCCAAAGTCTGTTGTCCAATCATTTCACACTTGGAGAGTTTTGCTCCTTCCAGACCCACCAGGTTTAAAGATCACAAAGAGCTAGTGCAAGGCCTGAAAGAAGGGATCCCCCTGCCCCAGTCACACAGGGACTGGAGCTGGATGCAGGATGGGTGGTCTCATTTTAGGGTAAGCGTCGGTACATCAGGCTACCTGTGGAACAATGATCCCATAAGGTATGATTTTTGTGATATAGTTATGGGAATAAACGTACTTATGTGCAGGTACTCTAGAATGGTCTCTGTGGCATAAAGAGGTGGACTGTAGTGGGGACTCATCTGTGCCTCCAAGCACCCCTCTCCCTGTTTTTCTTCCAGCAGACCTCACCTCCCTGACCACAGGGTCCACTGACTTCGGCGGGGAGGGTCAATCACCCCACCCACCACTGCACTTGCTCCAGGGAAGGGCACACGACCCATTCGTTGAGTTCTCGTGGATTAAAGCGGGGGAAAGACATCTGCCTCTCCTGGCTGATGATGTTGGATTCTATAAGGCCAGAGCTACCAGCAGCCATAATCCCTGGCAGCAGCATCACTCTGTGTAGAAGGACAGCAAGCTAAGGCAGAGACAAGCAGAGATGGGGCGTGGGGGGGTGCAAAATATTTTCCTTTTTAGCTTAAACTGACTCAAGTTGGTTTTTATACCCCTTGCTGTCAGGAAGGCACTGACCAATATGTGACTCAAGTGAAGCAACACAGAGTCCACCCAGGAGCGAGTCGGAGACCAAATCCATGCCAAGGACCGTCTATTCCAAAGCCACTGCTTCCCATGTACGGTACTAAGCCATGGCTCGAGGGAGCAGCGTCTCCGCCTTCCACAGACTCACCCTGGAGGGACCCTTGGGAGAAGAGCCAGGATTTAACCATGCCTATCTTCCCCAGGGCCTGGGATTCTCAATGCTGCACTACGTCCGTCCTCACCCTCCACCAGGCTGAGATGTGCCCAGAGACTCGCTCAATGAACAAGTGGCCCTCCCTTTCCTTATATGTTGGCAGGAGGGATAGGAAGACACATAGTCCTTCGCTGATGTTTTGAGGAACATGGGCATGTTACAAATCACGGCCTGGTAAATGGGCTGAGCTCTGCGGTTCTGGTTGGCCCAGGACAGCCCTGATGACCCCTTCCCTGCTGGCCTTTAATGCAGGCTGTGACCCACTCACCAGTATCCTGATGCTAGTTTTAGCATCCTGCTGAGCTCATCGGTGTGGTTATAGCCAGTCCACTAACACCCTCTTCTGCCCTTCCCGGGGCTCGATCTCCAAATCCTGCTGCGGTAGCAGAATGTCTTGAAGACAGGGGACCTCTAGGTCAGCTATGTAAAGCAGGGACAGAACCACAGGCCACTCGAGGACAGATTAATAGCCAAGTTCACACAGTCTATCATTCGTCTCCACAGTGACCCAGAGACTGCTGAAATAACAAAGTCGCCCGGGCTGAGCTATTTATCTAAAGCCCAGAAACTAATATCCAAAGCACCTTCCTGGTGGTGTGGGTTTTTCTCCTTTTTCCTTTTGCCTCAATTACTCTTTTCGTGAAATTTTGCTGTCTCTGATAGAGGCCATTTGTTAAAGGCAGCTCAACACAAACTAGTTTGGATGTCTCTGACTTATTGTTTGTGATGAGATTCCCAGCAAGAGGCATCCCTTTGGTACTGGAGGAAGCCACCAGAGCTGGGTTCAAATCCCAAATATGACATTGTAGTCGTCTCAAAATATGATTCAAGGGCTGGGGATGTAGCTCAGTGGTTCCGCTGCTTGCCTCGCAAACACAGGGACCCGAGTTTGATCCCCAGTACTAAATAAATAAAATAAATAAATATTATTCCAACTGTTCTCTCTCTTTTTTTTTCAGTGCTGGCGATTGAACCCAGGGCCTTCACACTGAGCTCCTTCCCATCCTATTTTTTATTTTGAAACCGGGTAGACTTTGTACTTGTCCTGACTCAGCCTCCCAGAGGGCCCAGGCCACCATGCCTGGTTTATTCATATGAATTTCCCCACCTGAAGAGTGGAAATAAAATTTTGACTAGGGGTGTTGCAAATTGAACTGTCCTTCCCCTATCCCAAGAAGAGGTATGTTGAAGTCAGAACCTCCAGAATTCCAGAATTTCACTGTCACGCATCTGAGTCACTGTACAAATAGCTAAGTCAGAAGGTCAAACTGGAGCAGAACGGGCCCCAGTCCAGCACTACCGGTGGCTTTGTCAGAAGATGGCCACGTGCTGAGACAGAAGTATAAGTCTACTCTGTGAAAAAGGGAGCAGAGACGGAAGCAGGGCAGCTGCAAGCCGAGGAAGGCCACGGTGTGCTGTGACACTAAGTACCAGGAGGCAGGTATGGAACGGATTTCTGTATAGTGTCTACAGTGAAAGGCCCCATCGATGCCTTGATTTTGGAATTCCAGCCTTCAGAAGTGTGACAGGAGAAGCCTCCGTGTTTGAGGGCCTCTAGTCTGTGGAACTCTGTCACAGCAACTATAGAAAACATATACAAGGCTCCCTTTAAGATTGCCATTAAGTGAGATGAATCTACGTACTGAGCCAAACACAGGTCCTGACACAGATGAGAAACTCAAGAAATAATTGTTCTACTGTGGGGATTCCCCATCATCCTGGAAGGGGCCCCTGAAGATGACCACCAGTGCTATCTGTGTTTCCTTGTACAGGGGGTAGCATTTCTGCCCTTATGCAGGTGTCCCTGGGACAGGGGGGCACCCCACTCACTCTGGTTGAGGCTATAGGTCCTGCAGGCTGAGCTTCATGATGTGCTTCCCAGAGAGCCAGCTGCGGATGACCCATGGATGGGGCCTTCCCTGGGCATCCCAGAAGTTTCTCCCACCAGAATTCTCTTCTCAATGACTCTCCCAGGACTGTCCACTATTTTTTTTTTTTTGCCCCAGGGATTGAACTCGGGTCCTTGTGCTTGCAAGGCAGGCCACCAAACCGCTGAGCTAAATCCCCGGCCCATAGAAGACTTTTTAATAAAATAAAGCAAGCTGCAATGGAGAAAGCAGGGAACACTCTATACAAAATATATGCCTTGGAGATTCCACACAGAGGAGAAGGGCAGGCAGGTACGAACAGGCCAGTGGCACGGCCGTGCCTGAACTCGGGTCCTTGTGCTTGCAAGGCAGGCCACCAAACCGCTGAGCTAAATCCCCGGCCCATAGAAGACTTTTTAATAAAATAAAGCAAGCTGCAATGGAGAAAGCAGGGAACACTCTATACAAAATATATGCCTTGGAGATTCCACACAGAGGAGAAGGGCAGGCAGGTACGAACAGGCCAGTGGCACGGCCGTGCCTGTGGATGGATGGCAGGATTTTGTACCATCTTGTTTCTGTCACTCCTTTTTTTCTATGCTGTGCGCATATATATGACTTTGCTCACTAGGAAAAGAAGGTATTTTGAAAACACAATTTGCCTACCTATCTCCACCCGTCCCCAGGACTGAGCATGACCCTCAGAGTCTCCACTTCCCAGGGCAGAGCTGGGCACATACTCAGTGGGTGACAAATATGGGATGAATGAGTGCCGAAATCAATGATAGGAGGCAGGGACTGCACAGCCTTAAAATGAGGCTCTATAGCTCAGGTAGCTAAGAGAGCTCTGGACTCAGAGAGAGATGGGTTGGACGCTGTGTGACACTGGGCAAGTGATTTAACCTCTCTGAGCCTCCGTTTCTTCATCTTTGAAATGAGGCTCGATCAGTCTTACCCATTATGGGGCTGCGGAGAGGACAGGGGTGCACAGTCCCTGACTCAGAGCATCGGGCACCCCTGATGCCCTGCAGCTGTGGCATCTTCAGCTGGAGGAGATGAGGAGTGGGTGCCCCGCTGCCCCCTTCAGGATTTCAGACGAACCCTCCCCCTGCCCCCCGTTATGCCCACCCCCATCCCCCATAATCTCAGGAAAATGGAGACGGCACAGGCTTTGACATCAAACTGGGTCTGGTTCCTGGCCCTGCCCCAGACGAGTTTTGCAATGTTCGGTAAATTCTGTTGCTTCTGTGCACCCCCATTCTCTCCCGTGAGATGACGGCGGTGGCACAGTGCTGAGTGCACGCCAAAGTCTGAGCAGGAGGCAGGTGTGTGGTGTAGACTCAGATCGCCTGGGTTCCCCAGCCAGAGAGCCCTGGGCAAATTGCTAAACCTCTCTGTGCCTAAGTTTCCCCCCGTCAGACAGAGTTACCATCAGTTTGCTGCATTCGATTTCTATGGAGATTACAGGAAGCCATATAAATGCACAGTGCTCTGAAGGGTGCTGGCCACTTCAACAATTCATCTGTGTGGGCAGCACAGCAGCCATCTGCTGTTAAGTAAGCATTTTTTCTTTCATTGAGTTTATTGGAACTCTTTAGGTACACAGTACAGTTATGTTGATCATTGGGATCTTGTACCTTTACGTGACAGGTCTTGGTCCTCATTTTTTCCCCTTGTCCCTGCCCTCCCTTCACTCCCTCCACCCTTCTCTATTTACACTTTGTTTCCATTTTTTCCTTTTCTCCTACTTTTTCTTTTCCCTTGTTTCCTTTCCCCTTCTCTTCCCGCTTCCCCCACATGATGTTAAGAACTTTTTATGCGTAAAAGAAGACTGACTCTCAGAGAGGAATGGACCTGTCCCAGGCTGTACAGCTAGTAAGTTGCAGGACTGGGATTTGAACCTGATTTGGCTGCTCAAGGAGGCTCTCACAAGGATGGGAGAGGGGTCTGGCACATCCGTAGGTTTATTTGCACCTGGGGAATTCAGACTTCCTGCCCAGCACCAGCCCAGGCCTTCCCCTCCCACTCCAGGCCTGTGATGGGCTCTGAATTTTCTACAGTTTAAGTCTTGCATTAACACACATAGCAGAGCCCTTGTAGGTTTAGGACTAAGCCAAATGTATCTAGCATTGAGTCAGAGAAGCGTTTCATTTTTGTTAGTGTTAATAGAACATGTTGTCTTTCCTCGCTGAATTCTTGAATAAGTTCATCAGGGACAGACTGCATTTGGGTCTTCTTAATAACAATCCCTGATTCCAAAGGCCGCCAACTGAGAGCCCTGAGTCAGGGCTACTTTGTCACGTTCTCTTTCTTTTCTCTTTGCATCTCATAAAGTGTGACTGCTGGGCGGGGGGGGGGTTTAGAATGGTATAAAAGAAGGATCATAAATTTTGGCATTAAACAGATACTATTTTAAACCTGTTTTTCTACTATCTACGTGTGTCATTCGGGGTAAGCGAATCAGCTCTGAGTTTTAGTTTCACTGCTTGTGAAAGGGGATAACGAGAGTCTCTAACTACTGAAGCAAAGAAACAGTGATAACTCAGCAGAGTCCACGATGACCACTCAGCAGCCAGTGACTACTGCGACTCCTACTACTACTAACGACAGCAGCTCTTCAACGATCTGTAACAAAATAGAAGGTGTGATAAGCACCTCACATACATTATTTCATGAAAAGCAATGGGAATAGTGGCTGCTATGAAGTAGGGGCTCAAGAAATGGCAATCACTGTCACTAGCAGTGAGAGCTACAGAACAGCCTCTGGGTTCCAGGAACCCTCAAGATCCACAGATGCTCACAACCCTTATATACAATGGTGTAGCATTTGCATATAACCTACACGCATCCCAGTGTATATTTACATCATTTCTAAATTACTTATAGGACCTAACAAAATATCCCTGCTGTGGAAACAGTCGTCAAACTATATCATTTAGGGATAATGGCAAGAAAAAGTCTGTACAATGTCCAGTACAATTTTTCTCCCAAATGTTTTCTATCTATGGTTGGCTGAACTTGAGGGTGTGGAACAGATATAGACGACTGACTGTATTTAATTCCTGCAGCAAATGGAAGATGTTAATATTTTGTGTGTATCAACTTTATATTCCGTTGGGAATCTAGCCAAGCACAGGCAATTACGATTCACGCAAGGACCACGACAGGGAACACAGAGGAGAAGCACTTATCAAGTGCCTGGAAGGGGGTAGGGGCGATTTTCCGGAAGTGAGCGAAGCTGAGATTGGAGGGAGTTGTAGAGCCAACATTGTGGAGAAACTCTCAGCCGAAGGCGAGTCTTTCCTTCCTTCGTTCACGCAATCACTCATCCACGAAGCAGGGAGGTTTGGAGAACCAGCTTGGTTCCTGGCGCTGTCCCCGGTACTGACGGGAGAGAGCGGACCAGCGGGAGCAGTAGCCCTGCTCTTCCGGAGCTGACCTTATCGGAGTGAAGGCAGATGATCAACAGGGAAGCGGACCCTGAAACAAGGTGCTTCTATGTGGTGACAGGCGCCACGACAAAAATAGAGCTGGGGAGTGTGGCATGGCCCGGTCATTTAAGATATGGGAGATCTATGAAAAGTCAGGGTTTGGCTAGAGACCTAACGGAAAGGGCAGCTGTGCAAAAGCCCGAGAGAAGAGCACCCCAGGTAGAAGGAACTGCACGTACACAGATCCCCATGGAAGAATGGGCTTGGTGTGTTCAACGGATAACACAAAGGACAGAGGGGAGAGTAGGGTGAGGGAATGTTACCAGATGAGGTTGGAAAGGCGGCGGTGGAGAGGAGTCTAAGCAAGACGCAGGGTACATCCTAAGGTGCGGGCCTGAGAAACTTTGAGGCCTTCAGAAGACCGGAGAGAGCTCAGCGTGGCGAGGATGAGATGGAGCTTGGTGCGTGGAGGAAACACAAAGAAGCTGTCATGATTTCTCCATCAATGTGTCACCTCGCTCTTCACTTGTGCCCACAGGATGGGCTCCTTCCGGGAGCCCATGACTGTTGTCTCATGAATTCTCATGACTGCCTGGAAGGGAGCAACAGCTGTCCCCACTTTATGGACTTCAGAACTGAGGCACAAGAAGGTGAAGCATGTGCTTGGCTTGGGATAGAAATCCACGTCCCCTGATGTGTTCTGCCTCTTCCTCCTGCTCCTTCACTTCCCCGTGAATGCTGGGGTCTTGATGAGGAAGAAATCTAGGAAACTCCCAAAGATGGGTGTAGGGTCTTCTAGATGGCTCCTGAGACCAGCATAGGGTAGGACTGGGGAATATGCTCCTGGGGACAAGCTCCTTTCATTAATGCCTCAGCCAGGAAGGGATTTTCTGTGAGTTGAATTAGAGTAGAACACAAAAGCTAGCAAGGATTTCCCTCTGCCTCAATCAGGGGTTTACCCTCCATCTCCTGTGTCCCCAAAGTGTTCATCCATGTGAATCTCATGAATGGCAGGGGTTGCAGTTTCCTCCCCAGCATGGACGGGTGCAGCAGATTCAAGGATGTGGTCATAGAAAGCAAAGCATTCCAGCCAGATGGATCTGATTTCAACTCCAGCACTGGCTCTGTCCAGCTGCGGGGCCTGGACCTAGTGTCTCCACTTGTCCAAGTCTCCATTTCTACATCTGCTCACTGAGCATAGGATGGTAGATGCCTTGTTTGAACGTATGGAATTTAGTGAAAAATCAAAGCAGAGCCCCCTTTCTGACCATGAAAGGCTGAGAAAATGCAGTGAAATTCGCCCAGGGCAATGACATCCCCAAGAACCATCACCCAGGGACAGGTGTGGGGCACCCAGAGACAGTTTGGCAGACCCCCAAGCCCTACCACTTACTAGCCACGTAGTTTCGGTGCCCCCATTTCCTCATCTTTAAAAATGGGAATAGTAGTGCTTGCGTCGGCAGCACATATACTAAAAACGGAAATAGTCGCAGTAATGTATAGTGTTAGTTAACAATTCAATCCACACAAAACGCTTACAACACTATCTGGGCCTGGAGGGCTCAGCGAATGCTGGCTGTTTGTATTTTCATGTGTATTTTTTCCCGAATGAAAAAGGCTTCATAGGTGGGAGATCAGCTTTGAATCCTAACAGATGTGGGGCTCAAAATCAAACTTGTCTGTTGATGAGCTGTGTGACCTTGTGCAAGCTACTTAATTTCTTTGAGCTTCAGTTTCCTACACAGTGGCAGGGGGCTGCAGTGAAACCTGCTACACATGTGCAGCTCCGACAGCTGGCTCCAAAAGTGGCGCATGATTAAATTTTAAATATCTATTATAGCAGAAGACACATTGCCATTAGCTTTCCTCAAAATATTCCCTCTTGCTTGGAACACACTTATCTCAAAGTAGTTCCAGAGTACTCTTTTGTGAGTGGCTTGACCTGTGCGGCCCTGGCTGCCTCAATGTTCTGGACAGATTCCAAATGTTTACTTTACCTGCTCATTCTGACCGTGGGGAAGAGTCTGAAGTGGCACAGTGCCAGATCTGGTGAATGAGGTGCGTGAGGACGCACCATAATATTTCTACCATCCTGCCTTTCTGTTGGGTGATACTCATAGCAACATTCACTGAATCTTTTTTTTTTTTTTTTTTAATCACACCTTGTGAAGACACCCACGAAAGAGGACATCCAGAATTGCTTCAGAAAGTGGCAACAATGCTGGGAAACGTGTTCAAAACCAGGGGGCATATTTGGGGGGGGGCTCTTGGCAATGTGTCTTTTATTGTAATAGAAAAATTTTCATTTAAATATTCGCCATATATTTTGATCGCACAAAATTGCTGAACACTGGCAGCTGTTATTCCCTCTGATCCCTTCAGCCTCTCGTGGTGATTCTCGAGCTCTTACCTCGCTCCTCCTCCTTCTCCCGGACGACTCTCCCCTTGAGGGCACGGCTCCAGGCCCCACCGTAGTCTCCTAGCTTGGCCCTCTCGCTGGAGTCCTTGCCCTTGAGCGAGGGTCCGTACCTGCGGGCAATGCTTGAGGCTTCGCCGGTGTCACGGAAGGCCCTGCCCAGGTGCAAGTCGCCCGGGAAGGGCAGCTCAGCGCCCTCAGCCGGGCCTACTGCGGCGGGGTTGGCCTGGTTCTGGGAGACCGCGGGCTGACCCACGAAGCCAGAGTGCAGGAAGACGAGGCTCCCAGCCGTCAGGTAGAGAGCCAGGAAGGTAAAGAAGCGCACGGGTTTCCTGCGGAAGTACCGCTGGAATTTGAGCCAGAGTTTGGCCATAGCGGGATCATTCCGGACTGGCTGGGCTGGCAGGGTGGGCAGGGTGGGGGCAGGCCTGGTTCCCCAAACTTCTCTTAGAGATGGTACCCCTGGGGGTCCTCAGACTCACTCCTTCTGTACAGGGAAGCACCGAGGCGAGAGGGCAAGGGCAAGTCCAGAGCTTGTCTGAGGCCGAGAGACACAGGGACAGAGCTCAGCGGCCTCCCAAAGTCAAGGTGAGTTTCCTGCGGCCAAGAAAGGGGACACATAGCACGCAGTTCCATTTTCCTACATCTTGTTCTTTACTTCAGAGGGGTCCCCAAAACTCCAAAAGTAGTCATCGGAGAGGGGCTCAGGAGTTAGCAGCCGCCACAAGTCACTCCTTTCCCTTCCTCAGCTCCACAGGCCTGTGGCAGCAGGATGTTCACCAAGGGCTTTGTCTCTGGCCTTGCCCACGGCTGGAGATGAAACTCCGCTTGTCCACCGTCTGGAAACGGAAGCCAACGATCTCCATCCGGTCAGGCACCAGGGCGCAGGGCTGCCACCTGCAAAATAGCACAGATAAGGCATGAGGAGCCCCTCACTGAGGCACAGGTCTTTTTAAAGGGGCCCTGAGCATCCCCCAGGGAGGATTTAGAGGCTCGGAAAGGGGAGGAGATTGCCAACAGCACAAAGCAACTCAGCAGCAGAGCTGAGCCTTCAGAGCACTGCCTTTCCCTGAAACCAGAAGGAATGGGTGGGGGGGGCTTCAATCCTCCCGGGCCCCCGTTTTGGTACAAACTCCATTTCTGCCAACAAAAAGTCTTATGGAGTGGTGGTGCCCGAGGCAATTGGCTCCGGACCTTTCAAGGGTACCTACACCCACAGAGGCTCGTCTCTTCTACAAATTGGTACGATATCTTCATAGAACTTTAAGCCATCCGCCCATATTACTTTAAATCGCCTCCAATTTTAGTGTCTGTGCTGTCCAAGCGAGCTCCTTCAATCACCTCTAGATTGTCTATGAGATCAAACACAATCATGCTATGTAAATAGCTGCTGTACTGTATGGTTCTAACGATAAGAAAAAGTGCCTCTGTTCAGTACAGAGACAACATTCTCGGAGTGTTTCTGGTCTATTGTTGGGAGAATACGGAAACGCCGAACCTGCAGACCTGGAGACCCGGATGTACATGGCTCCGCCTTTCCTACTTATTCGTTAAGTAAACACTGATATCCCTGAGTCTAAAAAGCGCTTCCTAGGTCCATGCTGAATTACCTTCAGGCTTAGTTGATTCTCAATCTGCCCAAATTCACTTCCCCCTCCCACGAAGAAAAAATTCATGAGAGCTAGTATGTGCCAGGTACTGTCCCGGTAACGGGCCTAGGTACTGGAGATGAAGTCATGGAGCCAGAAACGATATCCGTTTCCTCACCGGGCTCACATTCTACCGGCAGATATCAAGTCCGTGGGCTTTCTCTTCCATGCAAGGGAGAAAAGAGAAGGGAAAGGACGCAGGATTATTTAGCGATGCAGTCGTTCAGTCAGCTTACTTACTGAGCCTTTACAGTGTGCCCAGCTTTGTTTAACGCCCCCTCCGTGGACGTCTGGCTTACTGTTCTCCTCTTTCCTACGGGAGGTACCTACTTCCACACTTTACAGATGAGAACAATGATGTTACAGAACCGGTCCGTGGCAAAGCTGGAATCTGAAGCCAGAATGGCCCAAATCCCAAAGCACAGGTTCTAACCACTGCCTTCTCGACTCTGCCTTTCTTCCATGTCGTCTGAACATCACTTGGGAATCCACAGACGTGAAGCAGTTAACCATCTCAACCGCGCCCCACTCTCCCAAAGTGGCTCTCCCCCTGTCAGGGTCTCTGGGAGGATAGTCTAAAGAACCTCTGATTCAGAAGCCCCTGAGCCCTTGGTAAGCATGAGATCCCTGCCCTCTCTAACCAGTATCTCTGGTTGAAGCAAAAACCTACAGGCATCGCAAAGTGCTCTCAGATGATGGTGATAAGCACAGAGGGTTAATAACCACTGCTTTGTGAATAAATGCTCAGGATCAGGAGAAAAACAGAATGTAAACTAGAAAATAGAGAAACTCCATTGGGCATGCTGTTTCATCCTGCTACCAGCAGGGGGCACCACGACAATTTTAGCCCCTGCAATGGGATTGAAATGTTGACAATGGACGTTGTAAACGGTGACAGCTCTTCCTAACTCATATAACACCCTGGATTTCAATTGTGATTTAGAGTCTCACATCCTATTTATTTGGGAACTATTTGTTCAGCACCACTCAACTCAAACATTTTGAATAGATTTGGAATAGTGAACAAAACAGATGAAAAGCCATGCTCCTCTGGAATCAAACCATCCATCTATGTACCTATCCACCCACTTGTCTGTCATCCATCCATCCATCCATCCATCCATGTGTCTGTTGTTTGTCCATCAGATCACTTAGTCATCTACTCAGTAAGTTATCCATCCATCGATGTCCACCATTGCTCTGAATTATGCAATCCATCCATTCAACTCCCTACTAATCGAGGTATCCACCCATTCTTCCATTCAACTAAAAACACAACGACTGTCTACTGTGCATTGCTAGGAATGCAGGAATAACGAATTAAGAATTTCCACTTTCAGAGAATGGAGAGTCAACCAAGGGAAAGAGCAGTTTAAACATTAACTGTACTACCTAGGTAATGACAAATCCCATAGCAGAGATGTGTGTGTGTGTGTGTGTGTGTGTGTGTGTGTGTGTGTACACATAATACAGACCCCCATTAGTAATGTTCACTGAGATTTAACATAAACCAGACTGTTCTTTCTAAACACACACATGCTCCGATATACTCCTCTTAATACTTCTGCAAGGGAGACGTGTCTGTTTTACAGAATTGTGGAAGGAGCATCAGAAAGATTAAGTAACTTATTCAGAATCACACAGCTGGTAAATGGCAGCGAGGCTGTGAATCTAGGACCACCTGGCTTCAAAGCCATACTGCCGACCACGCCCCCATGCTTGTGTCTCTTGAGAGTGTGACAACCACAGACATATACCCAGAAAACAGCCTTCGCACTTCACCTTTCAGACTTTGGCTTACAGTTTCAGAAGGTTTGTGGACTCCGGGGTGCGAAGCCTTGGAAGGTGGGAGCTCAGGGGGCGAGGGTCTACCCCTGCCTGTGGGATCAAAGACAGCTTCCCCAGGAAGTATCTTTGACTGGAGAGGTCCTGCAAGAGACGCAGGGAGTCTTACAAGAGGAGCACAAGCTCTGTGGATGGGGGAGCAGCAGAAGGACAGTCCGGAGAGGAGGGACAGCGCACAGAGGGCAGGAGCCAGAGCATGAGGGACCTTGAACACTGAGTCCAGGAGTCTGAAGTGCGTTCCAACAGCACGTGTGGAATCCACTGATGTTCGTGGCCACACCAACATGTGAAGAAGACCAGCCTCTTTTCAGCTTGAAACCTCCCTGGCCGTGGGCAGTGCCCCGTGATGTGTCCTGTACATCACACATATGCTAGAATGACAAAAGGCCAATCGCCCTCTTAGGGCACCCTCACTTCTACAGACATTTAGGCTGAAGCATGGGCTGTAGACACACACTGATTCTGGGTTCAAATGCTGCCTCTTCCACCCAACACGTGGGTGACTGGGGCAGAAACCTTCACGTAGGTTCCTCACCTGTGATGTGGGCTGAGAATCCCCACCCTCCCTGATGGTGACATCGCTGTAGCCAGGATGATGGCACAGAGGAAATGCTCAAGGGAAGCTCTTGCCCACCTCCCCTCTCACCATGAATGTGAGCAGCCTTAACATGCTCATGATGAGGCCATAATTTGTATGTCTCACTGCTAGGCAGCTCTGGACCACCGTGGCACACACATGACTGCCCCTGGACACGTGTGCATGTGCCACTGGTGGTTCAAGCCGGTAAGAACGTGTTAAAAAGCCCTGCCGCACCGGCCCAAGGGCTGCCATGGAGACACAAGCCTGTGCTGCAGGTTCCCTGTGGCACCTTGCCTCTCGGGGAACATTTCTGGTTCTCATCCTTTGTGGCTCCTTTCCTATTCTTTCATATTTCAACACGTCTTTTGTCTAAGTGGGTGCCAGATGGGCTTTAAGAGGATACTGAGCTCATTAGCAGCTGGCAGGGAACAGAAAGAGGCTGGGGTTTTGGTGGTGTGGGATGAGAAAGGAACCCACGGTACGAGCGTCAGGCAGGGGAGGCTATATTCGCACCCACGCTCGGAGCTCCATTCCCTTCCGAGTAGGGAAGGTGCCAACCCAAGCCACCCACAACATCCTAGGAGGACGAGCACCTGGAATCTGAGTCCCCTGGGGGCCATGATGTCTGCAGGGTCACCACTTTCTCCCGAGCCCTGGTAAAGATGAGTGAGAAGAGAGGGACCGCCCCCTAGGGGGCGCTTACATCCACAACCATAGTTTCCTGCCCAGTGCCAACTCCCTCAGGCGATGGCCTTGGGGGCTACCAATTCAGGATTCTGTGGAGGCCGTAACTGGTGTTATTCACAGCTGAGTGATTCTGGGTCCCTGCTGAGCTACAGCCCCTTGCCCCCACTGTCTCTCTGCCTCCCATATCCGTCAACCATTCCGTCTTCTGTCTCTCCATCTCCGCCTCAAGTCTCTGCCCCTCTCTGCCATGTGTTGAGCACCTACTCCGAGGCAGACCCTGTGTGCACAGGATTTACAGACATGTTCTCACGGGCCCCTCCCTCCACACAGTGTGCGAGGCAGGCCTGGTGGGGCTCCCCGCTCCACAGACAGCGGCCCTCAGCAAACCCTTCCTTCTCCGCCTCCATTCGCGCTGACCAGGTGGGGATCGTGAGCATCTCAGTACCCTCTTCCCCATCACATGGGTGCCGCTGGCTCTCTGGGCTGCCACAAGCTCTCTGCAAAGTGAGCCAAGCATAAAAAGGTCCTGGGCAGGGACTGGACAAGCTACAGGGCCGGCGTCACCACCCACCAAGAGCATCACCTGTCCTCGTCCGCACGAGGCTCTCTGCGCCTCAGGGTCCTCATCTGCTGAATGCGGGGATGTCCCCGACCCAGCCCCCCCACAGGGTTAGCAGAGCATCTGTGGGGACCGAGCTGAGGGCTCCTTTGTGGGATGGCAGGCTTCATTACTGTGGTTCACGTTTCCGGCAGGACGCTCAAGACTATTTTTAGCACCGAAATGAACCTCTGGGGTTGAGCTGCCAAGAAAAACACGGGCAGGGTAGAACTGTCCCATAGGATGGGGAAACAAGATGCATCACCTACCCTGCACTTTCTCCCCAAGGAGAGAAAAGGGCTCCCCCTTCCAGATTCATGCGAGGGAGAGGCAGGTGCGATGGAGGCCCCTCGGCTTGCTGTGGGGGACAGAAGCAGGCTGGAAAAATTGGGCAAGCCCAGGGATCGGCTGGCCCTCTGACTACCCAAGCTTGGCCAAGGAATAGCTCTCAAGAAATCTGATTTGCAAAGGTTGGCTGTCCTCACAGGGCTGGGTAAGAGGCCTCCCCAAGGCACTGGGGAGTCCCCAGGAAACAGGG